GTTATCATCCACATACTTTTTGTTTGCAGTATCTGTGTTTGTTGTTGGAGTTGGTAGATTTAATATTTTATTGTTGTTCATGTTTATATTTCCAGTCATTTTATTAAATGTTCCATCAAGATTAAGATATTTTGTTGAAGCATAATACAATGGCACTGCATCACTAGGATATATAGGAACACCTACAGAAATTATTCTATTAAAATCCATATNGCAGCATCAGTATTAGCACTAGGTGCACCAACATTTCTTAGTTTTTTATTTATCATATCATAATCCCCACTTGAAGTGAGATTAAATCCAACTCCTGGTGCTCCTTGTATTCCCTTAGCAAAAGGATGATCTAAAGATTGTTCATTAAATATTCCCATTTTTTTTATTATTAGATTAGACAACTCCAGTAAAGTTTTTTGCAATACGCTTTCTTGGTTTATCAACGTATAGAAAAGAATATGGTTTTTTAGTTGCTGTGTGGTAATCTTCTTTACTAACTCCTAATTCAGATGATATTCTGTTGGCCTCCCTCGATGATGGAAATTCGTATAAACAGTAATGAGAACAATTCAACCGAATGTCCTTTGGAGTTTTGTAAAACGATTGACTGAGATACACCACCGAACAATTCTTATGTCGTCCTTGAATAAAATAATCAATCAGTTGTCTCTGGTTCTTATCGCAAACATAATCATCGAATATCACAAGTTTTTGATTGTCTTCGTAATCCATTTCTGACACTGGGATTATTTCATCATTACTTACATGAAGTATTTCGTAACCAAGTTTATGGCTTAACTCCCTCATTTTTTGAATTAGCTTTTGGTATTTGTCCTGTTCTAGATTACGCGCGTAAAGATAAATTTCATCGTAATACAGTAGAGGTTTAATTAACATATGATACAACAGATTAGTTTTACCACTTCCACTGTTTCCACAGATTAACATACGGAATGTGTTTGATGGCATGTAAGGAAATAACTGTTTTTATTTTTTATCTGGGTTGTCACCACTATCATAGTTTGGTATTTCCATTTATCTAAAGAATATATAAATGAATGTTGAAGAATACAAAAAACTTGCAATAAATAAAATTGAAGCTGATGCTTTGACTCGACAGGTGAGAGATGTTATAAAAACAACAAAATGGCAAAAACAAAATATGAGAGAGGGTTTTAAAGAAACATTTAAACCACTTATTGAATCACAGGATAGTGTTAAAAAAAGTATTGATAAACAGCAAGACTCATTAATAAAACAACTTCAAGCTAATCAACTTGCTCTTACTCAAGGTCTTAATCAAAACAGACTTGCTATAACTGAAGGATTTGATAAAATGGATGAAGTAAAAAAATGGGATTTGGCTCAATTACCAGGTTTTGAAGAGCCGCCTAAAGAAGATGATGGAGTTTTACCCTCTACATCAGATGAGGGACCAAAAATAGCAAAATTTACAGCTGAAGATCTCGATAGATTTTTAATGAGTAAAGAATCACAAGATATACTAAAAGCTAACGAATATTACAAACTCCCTTCTGAGTATTTTGAAGAGGATGTTTCTACTATTGATAAAGTAATCGAAGATGTTAACGAAGATTTAGAAGTTACTAGTAAAGCAATAAAAAATACTGCATTTTTCACACGTGACTCAAACGGTTATATTTTAGCTAAACCAATGAGTAAAAAACCACATGAAAACACAATAAATTTTATAAAAAAATTTAACATATTAAGCATATATGCATCAAATTTAAGTAATCTTAAGTATTATAAAACAAAATCTGGCTCTGGAATGATTTATTTTAACAACCCACATCAACTTCTAAAAAGACTTGAATTACTCAGTGGTTCAATTCTTGCTGGGAATAATGGTGTAATACCTGAGTTTTCTCAAATAGCACATCTTCTCAATCAAATGAAAGTAATCTCAAAAAAACAACTTAATGATTTACTAAAAAATTATATATCAATAATATAAAAATGGAAGAACGAGCTATTCACATTTCCTCAATAAATAGGGAAAAAAGAGGAACCAACAGACCTGGTGATTTTACTATTAAGTTTAATCCAACTCTTAAACTTGACCCTGAAAAGAAACATCAACTTGCTCTTGATCGAATGTCCATGACTTACTCTTGGTACAACATTAGAAGTGATTATGGAAACAATAAAATCAAATACACCCATGATGGATCTACCTGGCAAACAATTACTTTTACAGATGGAATGTATTCTTACTCAGATATCAATGATTACATTCATCAATATATGTCTCAAAAGTCTCATCACTCAACAGATTCGGGTGGGAAAAAAACTTATTCAATAAATCTAACTTTTATACTATCTACCTATCGAGTGTTAGTATCACTTGATGGTGATTATCAACTTGATCTGAGAGGAACTAAATTCGGAGAGCTAATTGGATTTGAAAAGAAACTTGTTACTAAAACAGAGTATGGAACAAAACTACCAAATATCACAAATTCAATTGATGTATTGAATATCAACACAACCGCAATAACTAATAGCATTGTAAATGGAATAAATACAAATACCATTGCTGTAATACCAACAGACAATCTCACAAGGTCTTTTCCATTTACGTTTGAACCTAAAAGGCCATTGTATTGTGATGTTTCTTCATTTCATATTGATGAAATGAGAATCTATGTGACAGACTCACTTGGAAGACCTGTAAATTTTAATGGTATAGATTGGTTTATGACTTTGATACTTCACTCAATGTAATATAACTATAAAAATAAAAATGATGCGACAATCAGAGTTTAAAATGAAACTTGACCCTGAATTGGGTAGATATACAAGACAACACATATATGGAGAAGGAATGATGGATGTGTTTAAATCGGTTGGTAAAAAAATATTTGGAAAAACAATGAAAAAAGCTGCTAAAAAGAGTGCTGAAAAAGCGGTAACAGCAGCTGCAACAAAAACCGGTGAACATGTAGGCAAAAAGGCTGGTGATAAGATAGTTCAAATGTTATCCAAAGAAAAGGCTGCTCCCTCCAAAAAAAAAGTTACTTTTAATAAAAATGTTGAAACAATAAGTCAACAAGAGATAGATCAAACACTGAATAACCTTCTTAGTGGAGGTTCAACACGTAAGAGAAAATTATATAATTATTAAAATAAAATGAAGTCTTTTAGAAATCCAAAATATTTAGATAGATATGAGGATGTTGTATTTGACCTGGAACAGTCTCTAGATATGGCTCCAGCAAATGGTGCGCACCAAACTAAAACAGGTCTTAGATTTGTAGCTGATAATACAGGAGAAACTACTCCTTTTGATTGGTATAACGCAAGGCTGTCAATGGATTTTAAAGTAAATAAGCTAGCAGATGGAGGAAATTTAGCGATTGCTGACCATAACGGAATTGTAAATGGTAGTAACTCATTTATAGAAAAATTAAGTATTATAGCAAATGGTCGAGAAGTTTATAGTTGTAATTATGCAAATCATGTTGTAAATATTAAAAATCTTCTTGAGTATAATCCTTCATATGCTGATAGTGTTGCTACAAAAGAATTATATTTTCTTGATACATCAAGAAATGCAGAGGAAAGAGAATTTGAAGTTAGTGGCACAAATCAGTTAGCTAAAAGAAAAGCAACTTATAATAAAGGTTTCCATAAAAGAAAATTACTATTAGGTGTATCAGCCACAGTAAACTGTGAAATTCCTCTTAATAGATATTCTTTCTTTGAAGCATTGGAAGACAAATTACTTCCAAATACAAAAATTGAGCTAAATATCGAAATTGAAAAAGATGCAAATTTAATTTTTCAAGCAGCTGATGATTGTAGAGTTATTATAACAAGACTACAACTTTTTATTCCAAAACTTACTTTTAATTCAGAAGGGCAAAAGTTGTACATGGAAAATTATCTTAAACCTTACAAATGGATGTATTTGAATGAAGTAGTTGAAAGATCAAATAATTCACAGCAACAGACAGGACATTTTAGAATTACAAATGCTATTTCAAAACCAAGACACGTATTTGTTTTTGGAATTAACACAGCTAATATTGATTCTCAAACAGCAAATCCATTTTTATACAACACTTTTAATCTACCAAATAATGCTAATATAAGAGATTGTTACCTGGAAGTTGCAAATGGAAACGAATACCCAAATATTCACTTTAAACCTTCTACAGATATGTCAAGAGTTTTTAGAAATGTAATGTCATACGTCTATGCAAATAATGATTATCAAGGTGGAACATTACTTAATATAGGTAATTTTAAATCTTTATTTCCTTTTGTTTATTTTGACCTAACAAAACAAAAAATGGATATCAAAGATGGTGTTACAAAATTAGCATTTCATTACGAATTAACTGCTAATCCAAACGCTGATTATAATATTTACGCATTAGTATTACATGAAAGAATAGCAGAAATATCACAACAAGATGGAAAACTATTGCTTCGTGCTTAATCTAAAAATAAAATAAAAATGGTAAATCCTTTTGATATTTATCCACCAGTAACTTTAGAAAAATATCCTTTTTTAAAAGAAAATAAATACTTTGAATATGTTATAAACTTATCTCCATCACAAATAAAAGAATTTGGAAAAAACAATATTATAACTTTAGACTTTACATCTAATAAAGAACCTTATAAAGTTTTTCTTACAAATACCCAAATCAAAAAAGTAGAGACTGCAAAAAAACTTAATAAAAAAGTTGATTTAAAATTTAGTAAAACTCAGTTTAAAAAAACTTTACCTTATGTTACTAGATTAAATAATTCTTTGATGAAACAAAGATCCAAAGATCGACTTGAGACTTTAAAAAAAATAAATGCTAAGAAAGCAAAAAAATTAAAGAAATTAAAACAACAATACCAACTTGATAAATTTGTTAAAAATACACTAAAAAAATATAAAAAATATAAAAAACCTAAACCTAAGAAAAGTATATGGGATGTAGTTAAATTACCTAAACCACTTGTTATCTAAATAATAAAATAAAATGACTACTTATTTTGAATACGGTGTAAAACTTACAGATGGGCAAAAGTCAAAATTAGCTTCTGCAATATTAAATAAATCACCACTAACTCTTCGATTAAAACACTCACATCTTCGAGGTTCTGATGAGTTAATGTTAACAAAAAGACAAATTTCTAAAATAAAAAAATCTATTGCAAACGGAACAGGATCAGATATAAAGATAAGTAAAACACAGATTAGACGTTCTGTAAAACATGGTGGAAACTTATTTTCATCACTTGCTTCTCTTGGAGCAAAAGTTCTACCTTACGCAATTAAAGGAGTTTCAAAAGTTGTTCCTGCATTGGCTACTGGAGCTGCTACTGCACTTGGAGAAATTGGTCTAAATAAAATATTTGGAAAAGGAATAACAATCCCCCCACAGTTTTTCCCAATGTTACCACCTCTTGTAAGAGAATTTACCAAATCACAAATAAATCAAATTAACAAAGCTTATCAAACAGGAGGAAAATTAGTTATAAAACCAACTCGTAAACAGGTAGAAGGAGGATTTCTTGGAACTCTTGCATCTATTGGAATTCCAATGGCAATTAGTTTAGTATCTAAGATGTTTGGATCTGGACTGCAGGTTGATAGAAGTGGATCATCTAATACAGCAAATGTTTACGTTCCACCTCCCCCACCAACACATGGTGAAGGTTATCCTTATCACTCACCACCCTTTATCGGTACTTGGGAAAACCCAATTGGAATGGGAGTTAAAAAAAAAAAGGTCCAAATCCAGGGGAAAAGGACTACTACTAGGAAAAAACAGCCCATTCAACTCAATTCCCATTCTCGGCACCATTTTGTAATTAAACCTCTATCCAACTTTGACCTCATGGAATGGGTAAAGAAACTTGGTATTAAACATTTCAGAGGGGTGTTTAGTCGCGATAGACTACCTAATAAGATAAAAAAAGAATGTGGAATAATTAATCTAGATGATATTCAAGGTCCTGGAACACACTGGGTTTGTTATAGAAATATAGACAATGTAGTTGAGTACTTCGATCCATTTGGACTGATAATGCCAAATGAAGCATTAAAGTATTTTCATACTTCTGAAAAACGAATAGTTTACTCAACAGATGAAATACAAAATCGCAATACTGTTCTATGTGGTTATTGGTGTTTATATTATCTGTTTGAGAGACAACGGGGTAGTAGTATTTTAGATGTAATACATAACCCACATTTTGACAACGACAACAGCGATTTTATAAAAGCATACTTTGGTAGGTAATATATTTTTGATATTAAAAATTAATATCAAAAATTAAATATTTTTCTCAATTCTATGAATAACCTTGTAATGTTTATTTAGCGTTTTTTTGTTACGAAATGCTTTTGGACAGTATTTACAAAGAATACGAACACCAGCCATATACTTATGGATAAGTTTGCTGATCTTATCGTAATCATTACTTAGAATAAATGCGTAATCGTTATTTCGATACTTCTCTTTCATCTTTATTTGAGATTCTGATACGCAGTAATTGTTAGTTGGTGATTTGAATTCGATACAGAGACCTTTATATTCCCTGTGATAATCTAGAATCATTAGATCTGGTTGGCCTCGTTGATATCCTTTCTTATAGGAATCTAGTCTTTTTTCCTCTGTATCTTGATTCTCTCCCAATCCAGCTACTAATATAGAATCTGGATAATAATTTCTAATTAGTTGAACTACTTTGTAGTGAAGGTCTGTCTCATTTTCTATTTTAAACATTTTGTTATTTGGGTTGTCAAACATTTTATAAAATCCATATTTTCTTATTGAAGGAAGGACTTCTGAAGTTACCCAATGTTTGAACTTTTTAGATGTTTCTAATTTAGAGGTTAACAAAAGCGAGTAAAACCCAGATTCATTTATGAAAGTATAATATTTTCCTCGTAAATCAGATTTGTTGCCGGACCCATTTTGGGTACCCCAACAAAACAGCTTTTTATCCTCACTATCAACATGTTTCCATATAGCTTTTTTAGTATTACTATAACCCAATAAAGTAGCTACATCTTTACCAACAAACCAAATATTTTGTTGTTTGTCAATAAATGAAGACAATTCAATTCCTAAATCTTTATTAGCAAACTTTTTCTCCAACATGTTTGTCATTTATATAATAATTGTATTCTTTAAATAGTTTTATTCAATTTCATCTGGCAAATTCTTTAGTTTTTTACTTTGTTGAGGAGTCGTTTTAACACCCCCAACACTTTTACTTTGTTGACGCCCTGTTTCAGGGCCCCAACACAATTGAAGCATTTTATGGTTATTAGATACATGTCTCTTTATATTAATCTAAACATTATATTAAATGGTAGAATCATATTGCATTGTAGATAAAAGAGTAACTCCTTGCACAGAGCCAAGTGGTTACCAAAAAGATAAAAGAGGTAGAACTCAATTCTATTGTAGGTGTGCAGTTTGTGGAAACAAAAAAGTTAGATATATGAAAACTGGAACAGCTTCTCAAAGTGGAAGTGGAAAAAAGAGAAAACAAAAGTCAAAAAACTAAACAGCCCGTCTGAAGGGGCGGGCGTCTTTGATACTGTTGTTGGTACAGCAGTTGATGGATTTGTTCATTATGGTTTACCTTGGATGGGTAAAAAAGCAGTTGAAATGGGGCGATATGGAGCAAGTGAGTTAATGAGAAATAAAAATATTCAGAAGAAAGCTATAAATTATGGGATTAGTAAACTCACTCCATTTATACAGGATTCTGTTGGATCAACAATGGATAAGTTATCTACAAAAGTAAGACCAAAAAATAAATATAAAACTGATAGACCAGAGTTGGATGGAAGAGGATTTGATATTCACAATGCTATTCTCAAAGTAGCACCCAGTAAAGGTTTCGTTTTACCAGGTCATAATTATACCGGTCCTGGTAATCCTCTTGATAAACAACTTCGTCATGATGATGAGGGTAATATATTAGAAATCTATCAACAACCAACAGGACCAACTGATGCGGTTAGTATGCAACATGATGTGGATTACACAGTTTGTGGAAATAAACCAAAAAGTGAACAAGTAAAATGTAAAAATGAAGCTGATAAAAAAATGGTAAAATCCCTGGATGCAATTCCTTTGAAAGAAAGACAATGGGGTCATTCTATTGCTAGAACTATGATAAATACAAAACAAAAACTTGGAATGGGTTTAAACGTGATTCGGCGTTGAGTAGTGATTGGTCTCAACAATTAGCCGACGAACTTCACAAGCCAATCACAAGAAACTTTCAAAAGAGATCAGTAATCTCAAACGGGATTGATGATATCTGGGCTGCTGATTTAGTTGAAATGCAAAAGTTTAGTAAGTGGAATAAAGGGATAAAGTATCTGCTAATGGTAATAGATGTGTTTAGTAAGTATGGTTGGATTAGGGGGATAAAAGATAAAAAAACTGAAACTGTTAGTAAAGCATTTGATGATATATTTAAAAGTAAACGTAAACCGCAGATGCTATGGACAGATAAAGGTTCTGAGTTTATAAGTAAACATTTTAAAGATTTTTTGAAAAGA